GCTTTTTGCTAGCCTCTGCTCTTACTTGTATTTTACTATTTGTCAATAATTTATWTGCGATTTGAATAAACTATGTATGTATGTAAATGAGAATCACTGTCAAGGCTTTGGCATGCACCAAGAATATAAACATGGCGGCCACAAGACAGAGATCCATGACAGGATAAGAAGTCCCTTATAATAATCTAAGTTTTGTTCAAAATTCATAGAATCCATGCTTACCTAACAATTCTAAGAATTTGTCTTGAAATTTAAGGCCCCGTCCATACTATGCCGGATAAATTTGAATCCGAATTTTTATTTATTCGGTTAGGCCTACCGTCCACACTAGTCCGGGCAAATCCGGAACAATTCTTCACCAGAAATGAATTTTTGAAATGGAACCGAATAAATAAAAATTCGGATTCAAATTTATCCTGCATAGTGTGGACGGGGCCTAAGTTTATTTGAAAATGTACTATTCTTTTTTGTCCTTGTTTGATAGTTCTTGATCTGTATTATCTAGAATATTATTTGTTTTGCTACTGTGATGTATTAATATGAGTCCCATTAAGATCAATGATGCTCCAATCCACCATCTCAATGACTGGCTTTCTTCAAAAAATGTAACACCTAAGATTGCCTGGAATGTCAAACAAAAACTGTGAATTTCATTATTCCAACCATGCTAGCATATTGTGATCAGCTCTTTATGTTTCCAACATATAGGTTGGATAAAAATAGACCTATCCCGAATTCACTTGACTGACCACGAAACAATGGTTTGAAGTCGAGACTGAACTTGATTCTTTTATTCATCAAGTTCAACCTCGACTTGAAGCATTTGTTTTATGACCCATCAAGTGAATTCGGGATAGATCTATTGTCGATAACTTTATCTTGGGTTTCCCTGGTCTATCGACCTGAGGGAGGAATGGCAGTTTTTAAAAATGGACTGGCCATAAAGTAAAGGGATAATGCAAGTGGGCCTCCCCAAAACCCACAAGGAACGCCTGGCTATGCAGGCTATGCAGGCTATGGTAAAACTGGATTTCAAGGAGTTCCTTTTTTGGTGGCCCACTAAAAAACGAGGTCAAAAAAATAATGGCACTCCTAAGTTTTGATGCAGGAAAAGATTTTTAGATACTTTTAAGACTTTCATGTGTTGAAAACAATGTTTTGTAAGGTTTTATGGTTTCCACATGAATATAAAAGAGTGACATTCTTAGTTTGCACATTATGTCACCATCTTGGATGAATTTAATAAAATCATCCAACATGGCCACCGTGCCTTTTGTTATTTCACTCTTAGTAGTACAATTTTTCATGACCACATCCATTCACCCTTCAAATACCATGTTCATTAGCTCCTCCTCCCCATCTGGTAATTTCTGACAAGACTGATCCTCATAATTAATACACAGTTTGATTTCCCTGGATTTCATTGGTGGAGGGGAGGGCAAGTGTTTTCATGCAGGTTGAAAAAAGTGCGTTTCGTAGTGAATAAAAATACTGTAGCATATCATTTTATGAAAAAGAATTGCCATGTCTTACCGTGCAAACAAGGTTTGATCCTGTGTTAGTGACTGTTGCTACTGCTGTTGATGAACACTTCCTAAGAGACTTGACAAACAGCGTCCACATTAACGCGTTGAATATGAACACGAGAACAAACGACAACACTCTACACGAGATAACCATCTAAAAATAAAACCATTTAGAATAATATTAAGTTATATTGTCAAAAAGCTGGGGKTTTTTTTGAGTTTTTGAGGAAAACTTAAACTTAACTTGACTTTTTTACTTCAATGAAGACCTAACGTACGAAAGGTTAGTATAAGTTGAAAACCTTTTTTAGATGGTGTTTAAGATTCCTTCTTTAAATCCCAGTTTAAATTCACTTGTATATATATGCTTACCCAAGAGCAAAGGTTTGGTTGCTGAGAGCTGACAGCTAGAGAAAGAAGAATGTCATGACACACGAAACGACGAAGAATCTCTGGTGACATGGCAAGTTTAGCAAAGGAAGAAGCTGTAGCGGCGCTGGAGCCAGCTGCTATAGCTAAAGTAAGGCCCAACATGGAACTTTTCACGTAGAAAAGGTGGGAAAATTCGGAAGAACTCGTTCAGTGAGTCCAAAAAGATGGTTTCTAGCAGGCGTTACTACTAGTACTAGCTGGTGAGTGGCTGCTTAGGCACACCACAGGTATCCCGCAACTGTTCCTTTTTACGTTCTGTAATAAAATCATAGGCAGACGATAACAAACTAAACTTAAAACTCTAACAAACCTTTTGATGCTCTCTATGATCCTTTGTGTTATCGTATGGATTGAGCCGGGTTTTTGAAAATAAATGGAACTGCCGGCCATTTACAGAGTGTTTTGAAATTCTTGATCGGCTGCCTGTCATTTAGCCTTCTATATGAAAAGGACTAAATTAGCTGCAGTTTACTTTTCCCCCAGGGATTTTTATCTGCTTAAGCTAGATCTTAATTTGACGGATTTGGGTAGATAGGGATAAGTTACTCAAAAATAGAAAACTTTCACTTTTTCATTTTCTATTATTTTAAAAATCAAAAAAGAAAAAAGGGAAAAAATGAGCAAATGCGTGAGTAGGTATAATATTTAGGTCACCCATCCAAGTGCTAACCCTCCTCAGACGACCTTGACTCAGTATCTTGAACGACAACGATTTATCCACTGGACCAAGGGTTCAGGTCAATCAGCATAACAATAGCCGTGAAAACAATGCACCGAATAGACTAAACTTTTTAACAGTATTTTTTAAACCGATTCCGTGCGTGGCAGAGATGCAAGGGATTAGCCGATATGGTCTGGGGGCCGGCTGGTCTCTCCCCTGATGCTTTGGCTAGAACATTTTCTTGCGTAATTCGCACACCCAAGGGCAGAAGGATTTAATCGCCGTCAGGTCCGAAGTCCATACGCCGCCTCAGCTCTGCGGATGTCTCGGGGGTATGGCA